TTGATAAGATATTTTCCCATATGCAATTTACGTTCTAGCGTTTAATTAAATTGAGTAAAAAAAACATTGAGGTCGTTTTTATTAGCTAATCTCGAGGTAAAAGTAGCGTTGTACTGCATTAACGTTCCGTCGCCATTGCGGATTTTCTTTTTATTTCAAAAGACAAAAGCATAATATATTCAACGTTTCTTTCTAGGGCAAGAAGCACGTAAGAATTCATATCATTTGAATTACCTTGTGGCTCTTTCTTGTAGAGAACAATTGTAAAATGCACTCAAAGCCGTTTTTTTCTCGGAAGTGAATAATGTATCTCTAGTATATTTCGTGGCCAACCAAGAGGCGCAGATGGATACAACAGTATCTGCACGAAGTGCTCTGCGTTGGAATGGCAGGGTTCGTGTGGTTGTTTTCTCGTGTGATTATGGTATAGTGTTAATCATGGTGTATACCTTAATGTCCCTATATCACTACTATATTGTAATTAATTTATTCACAAATGCTTTGGCAAGTATCAAGTCTTGCATACGTGTGGAAAAGAAAACCTTTCTCCGTTTCAAGTAGGCAGATCATTGAATAAAATACTTTTTTCAATTCTTAAAAAACATTATTAATATTGATCATCACAGACAATGTCGAGTGCAACAAAAATATTAACACGACGGACAACTAACAGAGAAATAATGACATTTCTACACCACTTTGTTTTACACATAGGCTACATACCTTTTCACAAAATATATAATAGATTCTGAATTTCTTATAAATATTAGCAAATTAAAATTTCGTAAAATTTGCAGAACACATCATAACTCATAAAAATAATCAACATAACTTAAAATAATTTCATAGAAGAGCTTTTCTGTAAAAGTGGTGGAAAATACATTATTTTAGTTTTTTTCTTTCTTTCAAAACTCATCAACTTAACACTTCATTTTTACGCAGTTTCAAGAGATAGGACGTTGAAACTCTGTATTAACAAAGAATGTAATATTGATAAGTTATGAATCCGTTTTCATTTTTCTTACTGAAACATTAAAGAAGGGATGTTAAAATCGCGAATGGTATTGAACACATTTTTTCGCTGACATTGGTGCAATGTATCTGCTATGTGTTAATAATGAGAAATTATTATTATTATTATTATTATTATTATTATTATTATTATTATTATTATTATTGTTGTTGTTGTTTTTGTTGTTGTTGGTAACGGCTGACCACTCTACACGATTAACGTGTGTAATTTCTCCAGGATCAGTGTTTCAGCTGTATTCCTCAATACGACCAGGTTGTTACGCCTTGAAGTGTGAATTATGAGATGATAGGTTGATGATGGGGGTGAAGAGACATTCACAAATATGACCATGTCTACACACGACTCCAAGCTGCATCCTCCTCGGCGCAGGCGACGGCGGACGCGACCGTCTGCGCCACGGGGCCGCCTTATGATGATGATCATGATGATGATGATGATTATTGTTGTTATTGTTGTTGTATTACTGTATCTATAGTACTATGGGTTAATTATCGAAAATTACTATTACTGCTGTTTCATCCTCCAATAATGACAACACCACCTCATCATAATTCTCACAATTTAAACTACTATTTGTTGACAACTAATGAATAGAGCGGAAAAAGTTTTAAACGTACACGAAGAATCATTGGTTTAGCAATGACAGAGAAAGACGTTGTGAACATCATATGGTCTTTCTGCACTACGGCACTGCACGTGATCATACTATTTGCTGCGTTTTAAAAACTATTTCATCTATGAAACTACAAGCTTTCAAGAGTTCCTTTCAGTTATATGGAACTCGGCATAGAAAATATTTTTAAAAAATGTGAGAGTATCACGCGTGGCTCTTCTCTGAAATTAGTTGGACACTTGACATTGAGTGATCCACTATAATTATATTCTTTATTGTTATTTTGGAGTAAATGCTGCGAACATCCTACCTTCCATCCCCTAATCAAGTGCACAACACGGGGAACAAGATCGTGGCGATGCCTCTCGGAAAGGAAATAGCGCCGCTCCACGGCATCCTCCTCGGCGGAAGGCTGGGGAGGTGCGAGTTTCACAATCATATTTCATCTCGCGAACATCCTATACGGCGCTGCATTCGTACCACGTACCCGGAAACCCGGGGCCGCTAGAGTTGCGTGGCAAATCAATACGACGTGGGAGGGGGTGGGGTGGGGTGTGGGTTAGCAGGGATTCGGCGCGCGCGGCCGCCTCCGCTGCGGGGGGGGCGTTTTTCTTCTTTCGACGCCGAAATGCATGCAGCAGCGCCCCCTTCCACCCGCACCCCTTCCCCCACCCTCCCGACGCCCCAAGATTCCGCAGAGTAACTCGCTTATTCCGCCCCCTCCTTTGCGTTGGCGGCGGCCGCAACAAGCGTGCATTTCGTTACCGCGCCCCACGAAGGCGCTGCCTGCGATTTCGCTTTCCAGGCCCGCTTCGAGAGGACGGAGGCACCAGTAAAACCAAGAGGCCGGGACGACCTCACCAGCGTTTGCCGCGCCAGGGATGCTTAAAATAAAAAAGGCTCTATGCAAGTAATAACAATAGCAAAAATAATAATAAACTTAGCTATGCCCATCCGGATAGCCAAGATCGCTGCGGAAATAGTGTCGTGACGATCTGGACGGAAAGATCGCGTTGAGGAGCGCGGGTTCGAGTCCCGCCTCGGGCATGGGGCGTTTGTGTATATCTGTATGTGTGTGTCGTCCATTCATCCTTCATTAGCATCATAATTCCATCTTCCATCCCACCAGAACTAGCAACCCTGGAGGATAAAAATTTGATGCACCATAATACTGATTCACCAAAAACGAGTCACATACACTTGCCACGGATTAAAGTTACTGAGTTTTGGTGAGTGCAGGTGTATGTTAGGATGGTTCTAGATGTCCAATTCACGGCCCGAAAATTAATAACAACGATAAATATACATACATACTGGCTTTCTGTAGTGTGATTCGGGGTTCAATTTCCGGCCGAAATAAAATGAGTTGTAGCTTTCCTTTAAAATTCATGTTTCTGTAGCTATGTTACAAAGAAAACCTCAAGTAGGCTGCTAACTTGTTACGATGAAGGAATTATGTCACGTTCTTCGTATCTCTTTCTCTTCAAGCATTGAATATGAACTTGGTGAACGCTCTAAATACCATATTTCAATGAGTGTAACTGCCTTCCATATACACCATGTTTCGTTTAAAGACGATGGGTTCTCGCGATTAGTTAGTTCTGCTCAATACCTGCATTTTCCTACAATGCTCAATTAATATATTTTTGTCGCCGCATCGGTACGTGGCTATCATTTCACCGATTACGGTTAAAATTGTCCAACAGTGTGCTTTAGTGAACTACTTAGTAAACACAAGCTATGCGCAAAGCTTGTTTCCAAGGTTCGAGGACATCATCTTGCTTCCATGGATGGGGTCTGTTCACCTTAAATGTTGTGTGCTAGTTGTGCTAGAGAATAAACTCGCGAAAAGTACGGTACGACGTTGCAGGGGTGTGTGACCATCATTTCGCTCCCATGGGTGACGTCGTTGACTGTTTCATGTGCTTTTGTATGCTAGTATGCTAGAAAGTAACCTCTTGCCATGAGCAACGCCTGTCGTTGCAGGGGTGCGTGGCCGTCATCTCGCTGACGTGGATGTAGATGGAGACCTTCCATGACAAGTGT